AGGTTTTAGCAGCAGGATTGTGTTTCTTCTAAAGGTGACAGAAGACTAGTGGTCAGAGTGTGTACTGTACTTGATGGGCTCTTGGTCCTCCTTGTTCTCTTTGCTGTGGATGATCTTTATCCCACTTTTTCTGGCCCGTGGACACCCTGAGAGACTGCAGATAAATGACAGTGTTACTAGGTCGAAGCATCAGGTACACACACGTGTGTGTGTGTGTGTGTGTGTGTGTGTGTGTACCTTCTGTGTGAAGCGTAGTTGCCAGTGATATGACCCGAACCATCGCACCCTGGTGTCGGGCACCTGGGGCAGAAGACACAGAAAGGGCTCAGGGTCTACAGTAGCAGTCTGAACGTTGGAAAAAAAACAATCCTGTCGGTTAACTAACTAGCTGCCTGGCTAGCTAGCTGTTTGCATAGTTAGCTCACTAACCGTTTACATGGCTCACTGTTTACCTCACTAGATGTTTATTTAGCTAACTATTTACCTGGCTACCTGTTTAACTAGCTGATTGTTTACCAATCTAACAGTTTACCTAGCTATCTAGTTACCTAGCTAATCGTTTACCTTGCTGTTTACCAAGCTAACCATTTACCAAGCTGTTTACCAAGCTAAACATTTACCAAGCTAACTATTTAGCTGGGTAACTGTTTAGCCAGCTAAATAGTTAGCTAGCTAACTATTTAGCTGGCTAAACAGTTAGCCAGCTAAACAGTTAGCCAGGTAAATAGTTACCTGGCTAACTAGTTAGCCAGGTAACTATTTACCTGGCTAACTGTTTAGCTGGCTAACTGTTTAGCCAGCTAAATAGTTAGCTAGCTAACTATTTACCTGGCTAACTAGTTAGCCAGGTAACTATTTACCTGGCTAACTGTTTAGCTGGCTAACTGTTTAGCTGGCTAACTGTTTAGCTGGCTAACTGTTTAGCCAGCTAACCGTTCACCATACAGTATTCATACAGTTATATGTTGACGTGGTTTGGATCAAATCCCAGCCACCCAAAGTCATGTATATTAATATCTGTTGTGGGCTGCGCCGCCATCGTTTGTGTAGCATTAGGTCGACCGAGGTCGACAAATCAGAGACTGCAGTTGGATCAGTACATCGTTCAGTCACTTCAAATACCATCAACGACTCACTGAAACGCAGCTCAGCCAGTCCTCACATCGAACCCTCTCTGTCCTCACAGACGGACCGTTTCCCGCCTTTTATGAACTAACACTAATACGGTCGACCTTATCACAGACAGAGCGGCCATTAAAGCACAGGTCATACATTTGTCAATGAGTCATTTCACGTCTTACTTGAGCTCTTGCGCGTTGTTGGCCAGCATGCTTCGAATGCTTTTATCGGCTAAAGGACAACCTGAGAGACTGAAGAGTAGATCAGGCCAACGTTAGTTTCACTCCCCTCAGCCCCCACTCACATCCACACAAACCAACAACAACAACAACAACAACAACAACAACAACAACATGATGGAGGAAGGGAATGAGAAAATATGAAGCCTCTGAGTTTTCATATTCAAATTTGACCCAATGAAAGACTTGTGGTCCCGACTGTCAGGGCTGCTGGCCAAGAATCTGAGACCATTAGGACCCCGGTGTGGGCTGTTCAAGTCGACCAGCCAGCCTTCACTGTGCGATTCTGCTCAAGTCGTCTGGCTATGAATAGTAAATGCGTAGTCGGCACAGTGCCGGGGAAAAAGGGCTGGAGGACGGAGCCGCTTCAAAAGCTTCACAACCAAAACCTCTGGATGAGAAAGTGAACGTGATTTGTCCAGAAGTTTGGCTTCAAATTTAAAACACGTTCATCTCTGCCCTGCTCTGGTGGTCAGAGACTTCAGCACCTTGGACAGCGCAGGTGAGTTAGGCTGTAAACAATGAGAGGAACGACACTTCACAGCCGGCTGGGAACATCTGACACCAGAGGCAGATGTTAAAGGCCACAAGGAATGGGACTGGAGCACATGACAATTAGAGAGAGTGGGGGGAGAGTGGGGGGGGGGGCGTCTGATCAGTGTCACTTCCCATTGTTTCCAGTTTAGCTCCACTCTCTGTGTTTTTCCCAGGACGAGATACGAGGGTAAGTCAAATCTTTGTCAAGCTTTGTTTCAAACCCCGAGAGTTGATTTCTTTTTTCTTTTTTTTTACCTACCTGTTTACCAAGTTAACCTTTTTTTTTTTGAACCAGACCTGAACAGAAAGCTATAAAAAAATACCAGAGCTGAAAACCTTCAGGTTCCAGACCTGTTTAAGACGTGGTCTTAGAACTTTTTGACTGAGCCGTGTCCGTCTATCAAAGCACGACAAAGACGAGCAGTGTCAGACGGTGGAGGTGAGGGAGCGGGGAGCGACAGAGGGAGGATGGGTGAGGGTGGGAGACAGGTGTGGAGGGGCAGTGGAGACTCTTACGTTATCAGGTCCTTCTTGCTCTCCTTACACTGCAGGTACTTGACCTTAGGACTGGACATGTTGACCTCTGTGGAGTAGGAGCGATCGTCCAGGAGGTCGTGGAACGGATCCAGGTCGTCCGCCTGAGACGGGGGAGAAAAGGGGGAGACAAAGGAGACCGACTTAGTGGACTCACCCAACAAACACACACACACACACACACACACACACACATGCTGAGACGTAATGTCACAGTTGAGCCAGAGTCAGATGAAAAGGTTAGAAAATAAAATCCTAGTATTAAATGTTTGTGTGTCCATTCAATGAAGGTATGTATGTATGTGTGTATGTATGTGTGTGTGTGTGTGTATGTGTGTACGTGTGTGTATGTGTGTGTGTGTGTGTGTGTGTGTGCTCTGATTCAGATCATTCAGAAAATTGACGGGCCAGTTGTCATGCACCACTCAGCCACTAGATGGCACTGTGTGGCAGCAGTTAGACCGCGTTGCGCCGCGCTTTGTCTGCAGTGCACACCGCCGGAGCACAGCGGCTGTTGGTGCGAATCCTCTCTGCTTTCTCCCCGGCTCACGGTGTGTTTATACAGTGGTGTCCGTGGAGGGAAGAGCCCACGTGATCAGCCCAAATGACCCAGAGCTCCAGCTGTCTGGGAGTGTGTGCTGCTGGGTCAGCCG